CACGCATTATTTTTTATGCAGTACATTCATCAACTCACTGGTCACCGACAAAACCAGTCAATTCGGTTAGCACATCATCTCTTGTCTGACGCAGATGTTCGTGTTCGTTGTGAATCAGAGCTGTGGCATGAGCTAAGCGTGGCGGGTAGTGTAGATGAACAATGGGATCAGATGAGACATGGACATGGAGACATGCAATAACAGTCGCTTTACTCACGGCAAGTTACAAATGAAAACCGTGTTAACCTTGGCGAATTACCACAAAATATCGGAAAATAGCTCATAGGTTCCGTCATCGTTATGTTGCAGCTATGATCTGATTGTTGTACTTTTTTCACTCCCTATTTTAACAAAATTTTCAATCAGATTCCATTGTTGTACTGAATTTGCATGCACTTCCAAATAATTAATGTCCTCAGCTTGTAGGCCATCAAAAATGAAATTTACGCATACTGCATTGTCAAAATCAAATATAAAAACTGGCTGTCCCTGTAATTTTTCCGCGCACCGTGGGGGATTTGAAATTCAATTTGCTCCACTTTTGGGTGACAGTAAACAGATCAATGGAACCACTTGTTGTTAACGGGTTTTCATTTGGCTTGCTTGAAACAAGTTTCACTCATTCCAGCTCAGGTTTTTTTCTATTAACTTTTAGCATTTCTTATAATTCGTTTTGCGAGCCTTGAGTCGGGAAAGGCAGAAGTCTTCGGAATCTATCTGGGCTTAACTCCTGACGTTTAATCACATCCCAAAGCATCAATCCTCCTCAGTATCACAAATTCCTCTCTTGGGCACGTGTGTCCCCGTGTGTCTAATGTCCTGCGTATCCGCACCCTACCGGATGCTTACTCGTTGCGTAACCAAATCAGTGGAACCTTTTCCGTTGATTGGTTGTGTCTCAGTTCGAGGTGGGCATTGGGAGACACGATCGTACCGGTGGAAAGATGATGCCAACGGTATGTCACACAAAGAACGTCAGGATTCTGTCTCATCCTATTATACACAATCAGCAGTGGATGTTGCAGCAGCGAAGGTTTGTTTTTTCGTTCTATCTTGAGGTATCCATAAAACCCATTCCCTTTGTTTCCCCCTTTCTCTTAAAAGCGAGAGGTACATTTGACGCCGGAGAGTCTGTTGTACACCGCAAAGAATCCGAACAAGAGTCATATATTGGTGCGTTGCTATTCTTTATCATTCTATCGGATACTTTTCTTCAGCGAAGCGCACAATATCTCCACCGGGAACTGCCCGTGCGTGTGGCGCATCGAATAATGGGATTTCGTACGCTCCCGTTCATCATTGGTTGCCATCCAACCATTCTATCTGTGGTAATGTGCTGCGCGTACTGAATTAATACATCGTCTCACTCTCCCTGATTTTGAATAGCATGATATATATTTGGACGCGTTTAAACAACTGGCAAGTGCTCCGCCGGTGGAAACCTTGGAGGACGAGGAGGAATACAGTCGTATCTTAAAATCTCTACTGGATGAACATAGTCAGGTGCTCGGTTTATTGGCTCGTGGTTTCAAAGAATGTCAGAATCGGATTAAGGTATGATTGATCAGCTATATGTCTATATCGATCTTTTTTAGATCTATCAGTCTTTAATCCATATACCCTCCCATTTTGAGTGTTATCTGTTTTTTTGGTTTTGAGAGAATAAGCGAAAATGTGATCTGTGATTGATCTGAAAGGACAAATTAGAAAAAAAGACTTATGACATATCTTGGATTTTGCTGTTGTATGTCATACTGAAATCCAGGTTAAGTTCAGTTTTCACATCACCATTAACCATTCATTTTCGTGTACCGGTTTTGGTTTCTGTCTTGTGATTACCAATTTGGATGGAGGAGTAAATGACAGATTGGAACGTTCTGTACTGAAATCCCTTTAATGGTTTGCTTCCTTCATCTATCCACCTTGAACTTCGAATGATTTTGGAATTCGACCATTCTGTAGGTGTCCGAAAGCAGTCTTTGGAATGAAATGTTTTCAACTGGTGAAACATCCACGTAGATACAGTTTTGAACAAGACCAATAATTATGTCCTACTTTCAAAAGAAAAGACCATATTGCAATACTGCACGATTTATGTCCAGGACGATTTCGCTGCATCTCAACATGGTGCATACTGCAGAAAATACAATGTTTACATAGGGCTTTAGCTTAGCAACAAAGTAAAGCAAAATACATTAAAAACAGACAAAACATAAAAGAGGGAGGGGTAAAAGAACCAATATCACCAGGGTAGCGAGAGACTAACAAAGTTATTTTTGCTGACACAGAGGGGGCTTCCATCGATTAATCGCAATCGCTTCAGCAAACCTTAGCAATCTTGCAACCTGTGACTTGTAGACAATTCGAAACGCTGTGCCTCGGTCGACTTGGTGTTGCGTCATCAGCAGATGTCGAGCAATTGCTGAGAACGGGGTCTTGTAGTTTCGACCGTCGTTTCTATGCAGCGGACTTGACCTGAATTGGGTCAGCTGATTTTGGACCCGATTCGGAATATGTTCTGCAGTATGCACCATGTTGAGATACAGCGAAATCGTCCTGGACATAAATCGTGCAGTATTGCAATATGGTCTTTTCTTTTGAAATTAATCTCGGCAAAGGCTTGTTTCAGTTTTCTCATACTTCCTACTTTGTTTTAGTGGCGAGAGGCTGTTCATAATCTTAGTCAGACTATAGCCTGCCGTAGATGTTTGGACTGGTTCGGTTTAAGTCTTTCCGATAGTGGGATATTTGTCACCTTGATCCTCTGGTTGTTTAATTACTTTCATTTTCAGACTGTTTGCTTCCCTATGCGAGTGAGACATAGGATCTCTCATGAATGAGGGATCCTACTGGAGAACAGGCGACAGATCCCTACCCAGCAGAATCAAAACAGATGACATCTGCAACGTGAACTCACAAGCAGACTTGAAATGAATCGCAAAAACTGATAAACCAAAGCAGCTAGTGAAATACTGAACGGTAGGTCAGGAACTAGTCAAAGGCTGCTCCAGTAAATATTTAACCCCGGAGGCCGGGGAACCCCAGTCAGCGAAAAAAATAGCAATAAAAGGGAACCGACCATTCACAATGATGGACATTCGAAGCTCTTTTGACAGTGAATCCCCCAACGGAACTAGAAATACGGAATTATAATTGAACGCTGAACAGAAAGCGTAGCTTTCTTCCATTCTTTTCAGGATGAGCGGTAACTCCTCGTAGGCTCTATTGCAGTCTGACTCCACATTCCCTCTAAACTTCTCGCTGGCATCACACTCCGCCGATTGTCGACCACACATGAACGGTGCACGCGTGAGAACCAGGCCGGTTTCAGACCTGGTCGAGGTTGTATCGACCACATCTCCACTTTCCGCCAAATTCTGGAGCATCGACATTCTTTTCGTAGACCCACCATTTTTATTTTCCTCGACCTGAAAGCGGCTTTCCACTCAGTCGATCGCTCGAAACTCTGGCGCTGCCTTTCCCTGAAGGGTGTGCCCGAGAAGATTATTTCAATATTACGATTGCTTTATATTAA